TTACTGAAGTCCCCTTCAACAGACCAAGCTGAGGAGAGAAAAAGAAGAAAGCACAGATTGCAATATAGAGGCCTTCTGCCCATGGCCCTCATTTTGTAGGCACTACAGAAATCCTCAAAGGTGCCCAGAATGGCATTAGTACCTACCAGACAAGCCTTGGGATGAGAAGTGACTCAGAATTACGCAGAATGTTAGGGTTTATTCTTATGTCAGTGTGTAAGAATATTTCCTAAAAGTTTTATTACCTGAAGATAAAGTTGGCCTCTAAAGACGTTTGAGTCCTAACTAACTTAGAAGATTAAGTGCTCTTTCTCTAGAGTGAAATTAACATGTATTTAAAACCTAGTTTGCGACTTACCAGGTATGTAAGCTTGGAAAAAATACCGAATTATCTGAGTCTAAGATAAAGAGAATCACAATTATCTCTAATATGGTGATGATGGATATAAAACATTTAATATGGCTCCAGGCACATTAACTGTAGCTGGTATTATTATTGATTGTAATATTACATTAGTGTTAGGATTAGCATTAATGTTGGTGTTAATATTAATCCTAGTATCATAGATCAGTACTTTTGTTCAGCCGAAGTAAATAAAGATTTGAATACAAGCAGAGAAATTTTGCTATATCATATCAGGGTGATTCCTTTGGAAGCTTGAGTTTCAGTTAAAGATGGGACTTTCTCATCAGTTCTTGTCATTTCTTGCTTAGTCATAGGCTGAAGACTCAAAGAAAAATAAAATGGGGCAATGTCTGGTTGGCACTGGGCAGAGTATTATTTAGGTCTAGGTTCTCTTGGATGACTCCCTGTTGTCTACAGCCGACACCAATCTGCCTTCCAGCTTCCTCCTGCCACACTGTGCCTTACATCCCAAGCTTCATCCAAGTCTTATATCAGCTCATAGAAGCAGATCTAAGATGGGATTTCATGTGTGCAGGATTTATGGAGGACAGTTCCAAGGAAAAAAAAATAGGGAGTAAAGGAAGCACAAAGGAACTCTGCAGAAATGTAAGTCCAAGTGCAGTCTAAATTTAAGCTAATCTCACTGGATAATTTGTAGTGTAATTCACACCACAGGATTTGTCTCACCATGAGGTATGCGATTTGGGGTTCAAATATGACTGCTGTGGGCATCAAAGAGAGGAGGCTTCAATCACCCAAGGGTAATGTTCCTGAGAAGTATGCAGATATGAGCCTTCAACGGGTAAAAAAGATTTCCATGGATTTGGATGGGGACACAATAGCATCTGCGACAATCCACTTTAAGACCTCACTGTTCCCTCAGACATCATCCCCTCTTATCACATGTCTCCCCTACACATGTTGTGCCTTTGGTTGGAATATCTTTTACCTCTTTATGGTATTCCAGATCCTGTTTCAAACTGGGAAGGTACAGACAGACAGCCACAAATGCTTACCCATTTCTGCTCCCCCAGAACTAAGTTCATCACGACGTATGGTAGTGTTTCTGTGCATAAGTATAGCTTAGTAATTTATGGTCTTCTTGAGGTCAAGAGTTGCTCTTTTCAGTTCATGTTCTCAGTATATACTGAAATGAATGATGAGGAGAAAGATATATGGTACTTAATAGTCTGATGTCCTTTTAGATTGTGTCAAGCAAATGATGTGATTGTCCTTTATACTTGAACCTGAGATCACAGCATTTTATAATGAAAAAGATTTTATCCAGTAGACAAAATAGTATTGTGGCTTAAGCAACTGATACCTATTTCATCCATTTGTGTAACAGTCCCTCATAACTGTATTCAACAAACACTTATTGAGCATAGGTGTTGTGTATTTGACTAAAGACTGGAGATGTGAGAATAAACAATACCAGTGTGGTTCCAGTCCTTACAAGATTTCACAGTTCAATGGAAAAACACAGAAAATATACAATCATATAGCACGATAAGAGTTGTAATTGGAGACTATAGGGAGTTATGAGAACATGCACACAAAGAAGGAGGTCTGGAGATCCATTGCACAACAAAGTGAATATAAGTAACATTACTGAACCATACACTTAAAAATGGTTAAAATGGTCAAAATTTTATGTGTATTTTACCACAAATTTTAAAAGAAGCTTAAAAATGAGAAGCAACGGTTTGTTTATATTTCTTTTATAACTATTGGAGTGAGAATGTTGAGAAAAAAGGTAATTCAGAGCCGGGTGCGGTGGCTCACACCTATAATCCTTGAACTTTGGGAGGCTGAGGTGGACGGATCACTTGCTGTCAGGAGTTCGAGACCAGCCTGGCCAAGATGGTGAAACCCTGGCTCTACTAAAATTTAAAAAAAGTAGCCAGGCATGGTGGTGCCCATCTGTAGTCCCAGCTACTTGGGAGGCTGAGGCAGGAGAATTTCTTGAACGTGGAGGCAGAGGTTGCAATGAGCTGAGATCACGCCATTGTACTCCAGCCTGGGGTGACAAGAGCTGGAGTCCATCTCACAAAAAAAAAAAAAAAAAAAAAAAAAAAAAAAAAAAGTAATTCAGAAGTAATGGGGGTTCAGCCTATATAGTAGTGTTATGGCAGGGTAAGAAAGCTTGTATTCTGTCCTGTGGGCAGTGTGAGCCATTGGAAGATTTCAAGAAGGACTTTATCAGCATGTGATTCAGAAAGTCCCCTGGATCAGTGTAGAGAATGCATGGGAAAGGGGCAACCCACAGAGATGCTAGCCAATTCAGAGGTTGTTTATATAGCCCAGCTGAGAGCTTATTCAATCCTGAACATGGACAATGTTGGTGGGGGTGTGGGAAGAATAAGGAGAAAGTAGACTCAACTATTATTTAGGATATAAATCGGGCAGACTCAGTAACTTATTAAATTGACAGATAGCAGCAGGCAAAAAACAGGATGGAGTCTGATTGACTCCTACTTTTCTGGCTCAGATGACAACATAGATGATAGTGCCTTTATGAGAGAATCGAAAATGGGGAGCAGACGGGGGAGTCAATGGGTTGAAAGCCAGAGAAACTAAAATGGGCATATGTGTGACATTATTCCACTCACAATGAGCATAACTGATCAAAAGTGAATGCTCAATTTGATCCATTTTTCTGAGGCAGATTACACTGCCAAATTATTCATAGGGTTAGTTAAACAAAAGCATGGTATTTGCAGTTCACAGAAATGTTCTAACCTCATTGTGTCATGCATTCTCAGTGATTTTTTTCTACAAAGCTGCCAATTAGGTTTTCAGACGTGGAATTCATCTTCTTATGGGGGGTACAGGAGAGTGATGATAATTGAAAGAGGATTCAGATTGCAATGATCTGGATAGGGTCTTGGCGCTGATGCCCATCAGTTAAGGTGACTCTTGATAAGTACCTTAACTTCTTGGAGTGTTAGTTTTCTAATGGGTGAAACGGCCAAGAATGATTGCAATGGAACAAGTATGTGAGAGTCCTTTGAAAACTGCAATTATGACACTGTTACTTTTGTTGAGACAAATGTTACTTGGGACATTGAAGAAAGCCCACCCTGCCCCAGAAAGTATAAGTATTGATAATCTGCTTCTAAGGAAGAGTGAACAACAGATTGAATTATCATCCCTGGAATGTTTCTTGTTACTTTTATATTATGAGTCAGTCTGAGAGCTGATGTCCAAGAAATTTTTTATCTATCTATCTATCTATATCTATCTATCTATCTATCTATATAATTTATATAGATATTTATATATATAATATAATTTTATCTATCTATCTATCTATATAATTTATATGATTTATATGATTTATATATCATATATATATGATAAAATTAACCATTAATGACAAAAACAATGGGACACTGGGAAGAGGTTAGACATCACAATTAGCCTGTGATGGTGTTATGACAATGTTTAGAACCCTGCTCCCAATATCCCTGTGTTAGGCACAAACAACATAGGCAAAGTATAGCAAACTAACACTTCATTATCTGAATTAGGGGTCAGATGTAGAGAGTTCTCTTTCATCTTTCCCAGGTAGGACAACAGCCTTAGAATGATGGAACTCTAAAGGAACAGATCCAAGGGAAAAGGGGTACAAATTAGTAAGAGACAAAGAAATAGGATGGAGACTCAGGCTAAGGCTGAAAATGGAGGTAGACCCCAAGAAGAGGGCTGAGCTCTCTCAAAGCGTTCCTTATCCTGAACCTTGTTTTTCTCTCTGCCAACTTCCTTATATCTGCTTGGAAGACTCAGACAATGATCTTTACTGTTACAGTCATGTATAAGCAAGAAGGTTAAGAAAAGAGGAAAACAGAATAAGAGAGAAAGAAGTATTTACCTCTGTCCCCTCAGGGAGCCATCGGAATATAGGCAGATGCCTTGCCTTGATTTTTAAAATTCTTTAAAAGCTAGCTCTGCTTCTAAAAATTGTGGTCTTTTGTCCCAGAATCTGACTAACCCAGATCAATACTCCTTCTCCTAGGTAGTGAAGTAAAGAAAGATAAGATTGTCTTCTCTTTGAGTCTAACACAAACAATGTGGGTGACAAAATTTTTTCCTCATTTCCAAAGGAACTTAAATCACTCACAAATTCTGAAAGAAAATTAAGTTTTCTCAATGGAATATATCGGAATTCTATTTTCTTCTTGCCTAGCACTTTTTTTTTCTTCTCCATCCATGACCTAGAATTTTTAACACATAGTTAGCTACTCTGGTCAAGAGGGTTACCTCCTCACTTACTTAAGTAAAGTAAATGTTCTGTCTCATTTGTTATCACCTTTCTGTAACTCACAAACAAAGAGAGTATATTGTTGGAGAGAAACAAGTCCTGGGCATTGGTCAATATTCGTGGTTAACTCAGTTTTGCTTGCATTTGATCTGGTCTATAGTGACCGCCAGAAGAGTCTACAGCAAAGCCCATTTGGTGAAGTCAAAAGTAGGTGCACACTGTGTCCTATTGATGAAATTAGAATATGAAGTTCAGTCTATTTCCGTCACGAACACTGATATATACATATTTTTCCTTTCTTTTCTTTTCTTTTCTTTTCTTTTCTCCTAGAAGTATCGATATCAAGATGAGGACGCTCCACATGATCATTCCTTACCTCGACTAACCCATGAAGTAAGAGGCCCAGAACTCGTGCATGTATCAGAAAAGAACCTCTCTCAAATAGAAAATGTCCATGGATACGTCTTGCAGTCTCATATTTCTCCTCTGAAGGTCAGTTATATTGCCCTTCCGACTTTATAGTTGGTGGCGGTGGTTGGTCTTAATTGCTAATGGAGATGTTTGCTGGCCCGATTAAATGAGGCTCTTTTAAAAAGTGATAGAGGACACGGGTTGCCAAAGGGTCTTTCTTGTGCATTGGAGGCTCACCTTGTATTTTTGGGACGTATTTTTATTGCAATTGTTTGAATATCTGGAAAAATCATTTTAGTTGCTGAGAATGGTAAAGAAAGCGCCAAGATTGAAACATTGAAAGGAAAAATAAGCTAACCACATATTTTTAAAACCCAAGTACATCAAGGTTTTGCTCAAATGCTCTCTGTTTGTCAGTATTCGTGGTCCAACAAAGGGAGCAAATATAACATGATCACATCTAACGATTGCCTTACTGTCTAAACTATAAAGGAAAATGTGTGAGTTGTCTAATCAATGCCTCTATTGTATCCTAGAGAAAATTGTTTATTAGACTTATTTCAATTTGGTGTCATACTTTTACCAATACTTTCTACTCTTTAAAATTTAATTTTAAACAATTGCTTGATAAATTATATCTTGAGAAGAAGGTATAATTAAATGAGAAAAAAATACTTTTCTATGCCCCTTGGCTGCAAATTAGCAAATCACTCTGCTTTTTTTTTATTTTTTATTTTTTAATTTTTATTTTTATTTTTTTTTTGGCTGAACTGGCACTACCGGATTTTGTGTTTTGTACAAAAAGCTTTTAAATGTTTATCAAAGTTTAAAAAGAAAAATCAAAATTCGGCTGAAATAAAAGGGAATTCAAATGGAAAAAAATAAAAACACCTACCAACTAATTCCTTAGTAATTACTGCTAAACAAAAATTTCTTTCATCACCTAGAACATTCATTTTGCCAGCACTTCTACATAGCTGTGCTACAATAAAAAGTATAGACATAAAAGTGTCTTCCATGTTTTCTGGATCTTATTATACCTGCCAAAACATCCAGGAGAGGTTAACTTATGCTTAACCTTATGTTTCAAATTTTGAAACATTTCAAACGTATTTGTATGCTAAATTGTATTATCAAATAAATTAGCTATAGCTACTACCAATACATAAAAATATTGGATCGTCAAATTCCAGTAAATATTACATAGTAAGTAAAAATATATTAATATTAATATTCTGCTTCTGGGATTCATTGTGTAAATCTCCAGAATTTCTTTGCAAGTGTTTGGATGACTGGTGAAAAGGAGTATGTTTAACCTGGAGAAGAAAAGATTAAGAATTGGGGGACACGGGACTTAACCTTTTTTACCTCAAGAGCTGTCATCTGAAAAGCATGACATCAATGTCATGCAGAAGGCAGAAGTAGATCCACTGTTCATAAGTGACAGTAATGTATATTATATGTGGGATTATTTTAACACCACAGCTCCTGATATTTATAGCTACTCAAAAAAATTGTAGACTACTTCATGAGACAGAAGTTCCCTATCCCTAGAAATCTTTCAGCAATGGATAATGGCTTGTCAGAGGTTTTGTAGAAAAGACTCCTTCCATAGAAGGATAAACAAAATTGCCTCTAAGGTCCTGTTTAGGAATCAGAATTCTGTGTTCAGTATAGAATCATTCTGATTCCTAGAGTTAGACAGTACTCTTTAATTTTTTCAAACAGTTGCTGATCCCTACTCTGTGTACCAATCACTGTAAATTGAGAAAGGGCAGGGCTGAGAGACTGAACTGCATCGAGGGTACTTACATTTGTTTTATTCTTTCAAACTGGTTGAAAAGCTCCCTATAAGAACCTCCATAGGTCAGGCACAGTGGTCCGCACCTGTAGTCTCAGCATTTTGGGAAGCCGAGGTGGGAGGACCGCTGATCCCAGGACTTCAAGACCAGCCTGGGTAACAAGGCAAGACCTTGTCTCTGCAAAAATTTTAACAAATTAGCCAAGCGAGGTGGTGTGCAAGTGTAGTTGCAGGTATGCAGGAGTCTGAGGTGAGAGGATCCTTTGAGCCCAGGAAGTTGAGGCTGGAGTAAGCCATGATCACACACACCACACTACAGCCTGGGCAACAAAGTGAGACCCTGTCCATGCCACAACACCCAACACACACATACACAAATTTCGCCATCTTTCTCCCTTCCCAACTTTTCCTCCTTAATCAACTCTAGAGCATACCTCCCAAAGGACTTTAGGCTAAGTACATAGGATAATCAAGGCTAGCATTTTATATCCTTCTACTAGAATCGATAATATGGTGATTATTAGTATTATATTTAAGTCAACTAACAATGATAGATGAAATATTTAAAGTAAGTGCATCTTTTGTCTTATCAGTAGGATTATGCCTGAAAGTAGTGAAATTCCTTGTGTTACTTCTGGGATTCAAAAATGGAATAGGGAGAGTCCAAATTTTATAATAGGTGCTATTGTAATTATGAGGGATGCTAGTCTGGTTACAGTAAAAAAAAAAAAAAAAAAAAAAAAAAAAAGAACAGAACAATGAAAGCATTATGGGAGCTTTGTTTTGTATATTAAGTCTTCAGCATATACATGATAATATAATTATCTGAACATCTGCAGTTTTGGTGATTGTACCATCATTTATTATGCTACTCGCTGTCTCATTTGGAAAATGTATATCAGAGTTGATGGGACAGTGTGCTTTTTCTAAATCTCAGATCTCATATAAACAAAGGAAGTTTTCCTGTTTTTCCTTTATCCTTTGCCTTCCAGGAATCTCAGTCTCAGAATTAACTGTATTCAACTTCAATGGGTTTCTGTTAGCCTAGATTTTCTGTTATATTTATGTCACTTCTAACTAATTTCCTAGCCTTTTATTGAGGGCACCTCATGTCAGTTTTAAGAACAGCCACCTATGAATAGCAAGACCCTGGGATGAAACACTGCGGTCCTAATAGATTTTTCTCCTTTTTGGAACCACCAGTTCTGTGGTATGGCCCCAAGGTATTGTGAAGAGGAGGGAAAGGGAAGCTCGCCAAGAATTTCTACACTCAGGCTGTGAGGTAGCTATTTTGGGACCAGGATTTTTTCATCATGACCTTCTCGAGGTGTTGTTTATACTAAACAAGATGTGTTTGAGTATTTATTTATTTATTTATTTTTAAACTTGTATTTTAGGTACAGTGGTACATGCGCAGGTTTGTTATATAGGTAAACTGCATGTCACAGAGGTTTGGTGTGCGGATTATTTCATCACCAGGTAATAAGCATAGTATCAAATAGGTAGTTTTTCAATCCTCACCCTCCTCCCACCCACCGTTTTCAAGTAGGTCTCAGTGTCTGTTGTTCCCTTCTTTGTGTCCATATATACTCAATGTTTAGGTCCCACTTGTAAGTGAGAATACGTAGCATTTGGTTTTCTGTTCCTGTGTTAGTATGCTTAGGATAATGGCCTTCAGCTCCATCTATGTTGCTGCAAAGAACATGATCTCATTCTTTTTCTTTTACTTTCTTTTTCTTCTTTTTTTTTTTGGAAATGGAGTCTCGCTCTGTCGCCCAGGCTGGAGTGCAATGGCACAATCTTGGCTCACCGCAACCTCCACCTCCCAGGTTCGAGCGATTCTCTGCCTCAGCCTCCTGAGTAGCTGGGACTACAGATCTCCTGACCTCATGATCCGCCAGCCTCGGCCTCCCAAAGTTTTTATGGCTGTGCAGTATTTTGCGGTGTATACGTTCCACATTTTCTTTATCCCAGCTACTGTTACTAGGCATTTAGGTTGATTCCTTGCCTTTGCTATTGTGAATAGTGCTGCAACAAACATACCTTTGTGTGTGTCTTAACGGAGGAGCAATTTATATTCCTTTGAGTATATACCCAATAATGAGATTGCTTGGTCGAATGACAATTCTGTTTTCAGTTCTTTGAGAAATTGTCAAACTGCTTTCCGCAATACCTGGAATAATTACATTCCTAGCAGCACTGTATAAGCATTCCCTTTTCTCTGCAACCTCACCAGCATCTGTTATTTTTTGACTTTTTATAAAAGCCATTCTAACTGATATAAGATGGTATCTCTTTGTGGTTTTAATTTCCATTACTCGAATGATTAGTGATGTTGAACATTTTTTCATATGCTTGTTGGCTGCATATATATCTCTTCTGAAAAGTGTCTGCTCGTGTCCTTTTCCCACTTTTTTATAGGATTATTTTTTGGCTTGTTAATGGATTCTGAATATTAGACCTTTATTGGATGCATACTTTGCAAAAATTTTCTCCCATTCTGTAGGTTGTCTGTTTACTCTGTTGATAGTTTCTTTTGTTGTGCAGAAGCTCTTAAGTGTAATTAGATCCCATTTGTCAAATTTTGTTTTTGTCACAATTGTTTTTGACATCTTCATCATGAAATCTTCACCAGGTTCTTTCCAGAATAATATTTTCTAGGTTATCTTCCCGGATGTTTATAGTTTTAGGTTTTGTATTTAAGTCTTTAATCCATCTTGAGTTGATTTTTTGTATGTGATATAAGGAAGGGGTTCAGTTTCCATCTTCTGTATATGGCTAGCCAGTTGTCCCAGCACCATCTATTGACTAGGGAGTCCTTTTCCCATTGCCTGTTTTTGCCCACTTTATTGAAGATCAGATAGTTGGCAATGTGCAGCACTATTGCTGGGCTCTTTATTCTGTTCAATTGGTCTATGTGTCTGTTTTTCTACCAGTATTATGCTATTTTTGTTACTGTAGCCTTGTAGTATAGTTTGAAGTCCAATAATGTGATACTTACAGCTTTGATCTTTTTGCTTAATATTGCCTTGGCTCTTTGGGCTCTGTTTTGGTTCTATGTGAATTTTAATAGTTGTTTTCTAATTCTGTGAAGAATGTCATTGGTATTTGATAGGAATAGCACTGACTGTGTAAATTGCTTTGGGGAGCATGGTCATTTTAACAATGTTGATTCTTCCTATCCATGAGCATAGAATGTTTTTCAATTTGTTTGAATCATCTCTGATTTCCTTGAGCAATTTTTTTGCCATCCTCATTGTAGAGATCTTTTACCTCCATG